GTGGAAAATATGCATAAAAATGATATGGTCAAAATACTCACTTGCCTAATAATTGTGCACATGGTGTAAATGTTTTTAATTGAAAGACATTTTACATACAAGATGTTTTAATTACATTATACATTAAATATGATACAGCTTTTGAAAAAAAATATTTAGAAATTTCATCTGGTACATTATGCTGCAGCCAGAATATTCACTGGAGCTGTTTATAGGGAGCACATGAATTCCCTGTTAAAACAGCTTTGGTGGTCACTGGTCATTTTGGGCCCATTGCAAAATGTCATTTATTACATATAAAGTCCTGCAGAATTTGAGACCAGATTATTAGAGAGACTAAAAATAGCTTAGTTTTAAGAGCCTTGGAAAAGATCCCTTCTTTCTGACCTGCCATAATCAGCTTCCCACTACACCTCTAAATGCTCACAGTATTCTTAATTGCAATCTGGGAATCCAGTTACATTGGGAAAAATCATAGGAAAATGATATACTTTCCCAATGACATTGTTCCAGTAATTCCCACCCCCATGACTGTGTTTTTTTAATCTCAGCAGAGAGAAATTACAGATCTCCAAAATGTCTTCTATTTTGGTCCAAACCCTTCCATTTTTTTTTCATATCCACAGCCTTATACCCTGTGCATGGTAGCCTAGTTACATATTTCTCTATAGCAAATATGCTCACTCAAATGCTTTTTTTCAATTAAAGACTCCATAACAGGTCAGGCATTAGGATCTGACAGGGGACTTAGCAAGGAAAACCTTCATAGCCTCATACACTGAGGACCATCCTAGATGGATGATCCACAATATAGTTACCACATGACAGGAGGTTTAAATGTAAATTGTAGGTAGCTCTCTAAAAACAAGTTTCAGGAAATTCTAATCTGTGGGATGGCTTTAATCCAACCAGAGGCAATAACCCTGATCCAGAGCAGCTCCCTGCACTTGAATTTTATTCACAAAAATGAACCATAAAACTGCTAATATTATAACTGCGGTCTCTTCTAAATGAACTATCCATTTCAAAGAAAGAAACATGTTCGTTGTTTCCCCCCTCTAAATAAATGGCATAAGGTAAGTGCCTCGTGTTTCAAGGCTCAGCATTATTTCTTGAAACTTAGTCTTACAAGTGAAAGTCACATTGTTATAGTTGACATGAAGAAAGCAGATTCCTCACTCCACTAAGTTACTTTTTTTTTTTTCCTTTCTAATGAAATTGCCGGTTGATTGAAGGATCTGCATTATGGAAACTGCAGGCTCAGCTTTCTTGCACAGCTGAGGATGTCATTGACAAGGCAGCTTGGATACAATCCAGCAGCTGCTTTACATACAGTAGCAGGAAGAGGAAATATGATGGGAGCCAGGGGCAGGCCATTCCAGGGGAAGGGAGATTGGAAACCTGATTCCAATTCCTATAGCATCCCCCTCCCCCATCCTCCACCCCCAGTCTCAACTTGAGAACCAGGAAACTGGATTGCTGGGTGCTCTAGGCTCAGGTGAATATGAATTCCATGCACATTCTTGAATTCTAGTCTGTCTGTAATAAAACTACCCTTGTTCATGATTTAATTGTGGATGAGAAGACAGACCAGGCATGCATTACTGTGACTGGCTGGATGAAAGAGTGGGGCTTACATTTCCACCTCAGGGAGATCTGTCCAGCCTGGTTTTGTGTTTTGCCTCACTCCTAATCCCAGGGCAGGGGAGGTAGGTATGGCAACTGTTTATTGGAAGACCTTAGCTGTTGCAAGGAGCTCTTTTCCATAGGTGGCCAGATGTGAGACCTTGCATATGATGCTTTGCAAAAGAGACAAGTTGGGGATGCTACTATTGTACCATCCCCCCAGCTGCATGGCAGCATCTCTCACCAAGTTGCTCAATCTCATTGTAGGGTTGGTTGTGATTCACCCAGACTGTTAGTACTGGGTGATTTCAACCTCCCCTCTTTGGGATCAGAGGCAACTCAGGAGTTCATAGTAGCTTCTTCCAGGTAATCACTGCCCAATGCATGTGACTGGTCACTCTCTAGATCTAGACATCACCTTGGAGCAGATTTCAGGAACCAATCACTTCCTCATGACAATGGGCCTGTCTAGGGCCACCAACCTCTTCAGGGAGGAACCTATTAAGATGCTTTACCCCAGATGTCTGATGGATCCAGCAGATTTCCTGAATGCCTGGGGAGTTCCCCAGTCACCTGAAGGGCACTTCTGTTAGGCACTTTGTTGACCTTATTCCACTCCACCCTAAGGAGCTCCATGAAATGAAGGAGGTGAAAAAACTTTGGTTTTCCAGTTGTGCCAGTCTAGTTCTATTAGAATTCTGGTCAGTGCCCTCTCTATGAGAGGCTGCTTCTTCCAAAATATCATGACATTTCTAGGTAAGATTTGCAAGGTCACTAAAACAGGATTAATAATGTACTTCGCAGTAAGTAATTTATTCATAGATCAGCAATCAGGATAGACCATGCTAGGGGCAAATCATACATTCACTTTGTCTCTATTGCTCAGAAAACTCATACTATCATTCCTAATAGGACATTCTTCCCTAGTCTAGGAACTGGTGTGACATTCATATATAGTACTAAAGTTACTATGACCATTCCGTATAAGAGAAGTATGATCATAGCCACATTTCAACAAGCAACATACAAGTAACATCCATCTATATGTGAATGGAATTTTCCCTCACTGTACCTCCTTGTGGAACCCCCAGATCTGATCTGGAGGATTCCCAAAGCCCACAGCTGGATTGGGAGATAGGCAGAGGAGAAACGTTTGCCACTGTCAGTAAAAACCCACTGGAGAATTTCACCAAATCCTAACCATGATCACTGTGCCTGTATTTTTTTTAATAGCTGCAGAGTTTAGAAACTTACTTGGTGGTTTATGTTCTGCCTCCTTGCCTAAAAAACAGAAAACAAAACAAAATAAAATCTGAAAAGGCCTGTTTAAAAAGAAAAGACTAAAAGCAGAAACAGAGAGGGTTGTGAGCAACTCCTGAGTATGTTTATAATGCAAAATTCCCCTTCTCTTTCTACATTTTGCAAAATATTGCTGCTTGCTGATGGAAGAACTTGCTGGTAAAGCTGGATCTGGCCCCTCCTTGTTATAGCTGAAACATTTATTTAGGATTTTTAAAAGAATTTTTAGTCAAGTTTTAATAATTGTTATAATCATGAAAGTTTGTCAGGTACCTAGAGCCACCAGCATGTCTCTCTCTCGCTCAGTCCAAGAGATTTGACAGTAGGAATTTAATGAAAATACAAAGGGGAATAATGGCCTTGGATTCAAGGAAAGTAAAAATATAGAGGACCAGTATTTCCTTTCCCACTACTACCAAATGGAATTGCCTACTTAGGAAAAGCTGAACTACTGTAAAACCATGCCTCCTATCCTCAGCCCCTGCAAGTGGTCCAAGAAGGGAGCATGGTCTATGCTATTAAACATTGCTGAGACGGCAAATAAGACCAGGAGAGATTCACTGCCCATATCCAGGTCCTGACAGAGGTCATCCACCATAGGAACAAGTGCCATTCCATATATTAGAGGGCAGTGGAGCTTTTATAAGGATCGCAGCCTATTAATTTATAAGATGTATATTCCACCTTTCCACTGAAAATAACACAAAAATTGCTAACAACAAAATGCAGATAAAATAATATTGGAATGTAAACATAAAATTTAAACATTGATAAGAAATGGAAATAGATAATACTTATCAGATTACAATCTATTTTAGCAGCAAATGCTAAATTCCTTCCTAAATAGAAATAGCTTTGCCTGCTGTGACCATCCTGGTAGAAATTATCCAATATCATGAGATTCAGAAGGCAGGAGATGGAAAGATTGATTTAAGTTACAAGAAGGAACATTCCAATAGAATGTTAAAACATTACACAGTGAAACCCAATATCCAGAGGTGTTTAAATGGAGGCGAGGTATCTGTTGGAAATGCTCTCATTTGGATCCCACAGGAAGCAGGGAAGTGGACTAAACAGATCTTTTACCTCTATGATTCTATGCATAGATTCACACTTTGTTTCAAAGAAGCATTCACTGTTGCCCCTGTTACTTATTCAGCCACCACCACCCCCGATTTCACAGGCTTCATAAGACAATGATCAAGCAGACATGTGGTAGATCTCACCTCTCCAATGGATTTATTTTGAATTTTATTTTAATGTCAATGTATCTATCACTTCAATCATTTCATTGCCATTATCTTAAAAAGCAGGAAACTCAGCAAAACTTACTGGAAAAGGAAAAACAGCAAACCTTACTGTTTGGGGAGGGCATTCAGGAGCAATCATGTCAATTGCCTAGGCTTTTTTCCTTTTCTAGAACTTTCCAAGGCATTGACAGAATGGCCTGCCATGATAACAAGAAAATTCTAAGAGCTATCAAAAAGATATTTGGATTGCTTCTTGAAATGGTTCCCTACTTTAGACTCAATCAATCTAAATGCCATAAATTAGTAATTAATTAAAGACAATGGAACTGGAGGAAGTTCTTCCATATCCATGTCATCATCACCTCACTAGATACAGAAAAAACAATCCCAGATATCTTGATGAATGATTGATGTGAGAGGCTATTTAAGATAGACCCGTAGTTGCTATGAAAACATGACGGAGTGTGTTTTGAAATTCACCAGGACAATGAGGACACAGCCATCACGTCCTTTAGCTCAGAAAGGGGGATTCTTGGGCAATAGGGGAGGAAATATGCTGGCCAACCCTTATTTTGTTTCATGTATTCATTTTCAGAGCTCAAGCTCAGATACTTTGGTCACCTAATGCAAAGAGAGAACTCCTTGGAAAAGACCCTGATGCTGGGAAAGATGGAAGGCAAAAGAAGAAGGGGACGGCAGAGGATGAAATGGTTAGATAGCATCACTGAAGCAATGAGCATGAAACTGAGCAAACTCAGGGAGGCAGTGAAGGACAGGAAGGCCTGGCGCGATATGGTTCATGGGGTCACGAAGAGTTGGACACGACTTAACGACTGAACAACAACAATTCATTTTCAGAGCACACATTCAACAGTGGGTAAGGACAGCATCTCGGTATCTGCTGCAGCTCTGCACTGTTGCTTGTTTGTTGCTGCCCACCAGGTAGGCAGATGAATAAACTTGTAAATACCTTCATTTACAACATTCCTTTTCCCAACAATGAAAAATCTTGGCTGTTGTCTGGAACTATTCCAATGCTAAAAGAAGAGATGAGTATAAATGTACAAAAGCTGAAATAAAGTAATTAATGACATCCGCCTCGAGGGCACTGTTCCATGGAGAGCAAATTAATAGTAGTGTTCCAGTGCCACTGCAAGGGTTAGAGAAGGCATAGGCAGAGTTCAGGGAATTCCTCCTTTTGTTGCCTACAATATCACTATTTATTCTGGTTACATCACAGGGACTTGTAAAAGTCAAAATTCCTGTGCATGCATTTAAGAAGCATGCTCCTGTCTTAAAATAATCAGTTCTTCTGGGCTCACTAATGTTGGACACTCTTTATTCTGGTTCCTATCTTGGTATCACCTGTTACCATTCTTTATACAGGTGGTCCTCACTTAACAACCACAATAGGGACCAGAAAATTGGTTGTTAAGTGAGGTGGTGAAGTGAGTCACCACGCGACCAGACCCAATTTTGCGACCATTTTTACGATGATCTTTAAGTTGATCACATGGTCGTTAAGCAAATCCATCTCTAATGGACTTTTTGCCAGAATTCACTTAATGACCACACGATTTGCTTAATGACCATTGTAAAAAAGGTTGCAAATCTCAATCACATGACTGCAAGGGGTGGTGTGACAGTTTGAGATGGTTGTGTGAGTACAGGTCATAAAACACTTTTTCTGAGGCTGTTCATGACTTTGAACCATTGTTAAAGGAATGTTCATTAAGCAAGGACTACCTGTAATCATTTAAAGTCTTTATGAGTTGTCTCTTCTTTCTAGGATGCCAAAAAGATATTACAGTAATTATACACAATTCTTTTTATGTGTGTGCAAATGGGTCACAATGTTTCCAAATGAAAATTGTTCAAGCAAGTAAACCATAGTGCCAGAAAATATTTTCTGATCCACAGGGTTAGGCATGCCAGCTCTAAAAGATGGCCATTTAACAGAATATGCATGAGACTGTATGTCCATGCACGTGCACATCCACAAAAGAGAGGAAAAGAAAAAAGGTTCATGTGTGTATATAGTGAAGAGAGGAAAGCAATCATTTTAGAATCATAAATTTTGCTCAGCTAGAAGCCCAAACAATGACAAAAGAAAAGAATACAAACAATGCCTGTTGTCAGAACAGATAAGGGGTTCATCTGGCTCAGCATTCTGTTTCTACAGCAACTAGCTAGCTAGTTTTCACATTACCCAGGAGCTGGGTTTTCAGAAACATCCTGCCTCTGATATTGGAGGTAATCTATAGACATACTGTACAATCAGTAGCCATTAATCGCTTTATTCTTTCTGAAGTCTTGGCTGCGTTTTATTTCCTTGTTGCATTAGTTATTTATTATACTTTTCATACTGTTGGCTCCTGAAGCCTTTTGATGCTCTGCAATAATAACACTAATGTTTAAAAATGGAAACCAGAATTTAAATAACCAAAAAGCCTCTTCAAAAGTATCTGGTTTTAAAGGACTTTTCAAAAGCAACAAATAGTCAGTCTTCTCAGCTCATTAGGGAATACTTTCCAGATAATGATAGAAAAAGCTTGACTCCAAGTCACCTCAGGATGAGCCTTCAGCAACTATAGATTTCAGTGAGCGATGAGATTATATCAATCAATGAGGTAGGTTGTTTGGACTCAGGCCATGTGGGCTTTTAAAGGTAATATCTAGCATTTTGTACCAAAACTAGAAGTAAACTGGCAGCCTTTGTAATGCTTTTAACACAAGCATAATACGCTCTTTCCAGGGGCCAGTGTGATGCTAAATTCTGTGCTATATGAAATTTCTGGAGAAAAAGGTATCCTTAAGTAGAGGTCTAATAATTACCTCCTTTACATAATGAGGCATAGTGCCCTCCTCCAGAAGAACTTTTATGTATTAACAAAGAGATCTCCAATAATTTCCTAGCTAGGAGTTACAAGTGAAATTGGGCAAGATCAAGAGGAAACATTATCTTGTACTGTATTGGTTAATTTCAAAACTAGCACTTAATGTTCATATTTACATACTTTGTAAAGAAAATTATCTTAAATATATTATTAAACATGTATTAATGCAATATTTTCAAGCTGTTACTGTAGTTTCCATCCATTTTATTTCTAAGCTGAGAGAAGCACTGGCAATTTGTTTTGGTTTTGATGTGTACAATATAATCCCTCACACCAAGTCAAGATCTTCCTGGTATCTCCATTCTCCCCTGAATAGAGCAAAATCATGGAATTTACTTTAGGCTTTACTGGACCAATACACATGACAAATGGCTTACATTCAGTTTGATACATTACATTTGTGGAGGCCTGCATCAGGAGAGGCAAAGAGGTATCCTTTGCAAGAACTCTTAGAATTAGGATGGTTGTGAGAATATGATATCCTTGCAAGGTGATGAAGTGGTAGCAATCCCATATCTTTGCTCCCATTGTCTTGGAGTGCCCCCCCCCATGGAAACCAAGCACCTCCTTTCATTCCTGTCACCATAATATAGCTAGAGATGTAAGTTCTACCCTGACATAATACATAATTTTTGTATGTTATGTGTTGTGACATTACATGCATGTATGAAAGGAGCAGAGCTTGCATTGCTGTGGTACAACTCCCACGTTTGCCATTTTGATGAAAGTGCTGGATCCTGTGGATGCCTTCAGTATAGGAGAAATAGTCTGCACACAAACTGTCCTAGGAAGCACTGGGAGATTTCCCATACACACAACGTCCCATCTTCTTTGTAGTATCTATTCTGTTACCATGGTAGATATATACAGATGAAAGGATTCTCTCTCATTAGGTCTATCTATATCTATCCATCTATCAACATCTATCCTATTTATATGCCCACCTATCTTGCTACTGTGACTCTAGGTTGCTAATAATGAATTAAAAATGAAAAACCGCAAATCAATGTTTAAAAATAAACATTAAGAGATGAAAAATGAATCATACCTGTAATGGCAGAATGAGAAATGTTCTTGGTTTGTTTTATCATGCTGGATGCTAAAACAATTGTAAATCAAATACAAGAAATAATAATAGTCTTCTTTGAAAACTATCTACCTATCAATCAATTTAAGCTGTAAGCCAGAAATGTCATCTTAGAGCAGCCTTCTCCAACCAAGTGTTCTCCAAAAGTATAATTTTCTTTGTCCCAAAACCATTTGATTGGAAGAGCTATTTATTTATTTAATCTTTTATTTATTTATTAAATCTGTATATGTACCATGGAAAGATTTTACAACACATTAAGTGTAACAATGAAAATAGCGATAAATATTTGTTTACCAGTTACTATCTTCAGCAGTTTATATTGGCAAAACTATTCTGCCTTTGTAAAATAAGAGAAATAGTTACATTTGTTTGGCCAATTTGTACCCTGCATTGCCTGATTCTACTGGGCTTTAAAACAGGTTACAGTGGTGGAGAGTTTTAAAAAATATACAATATTTTTGTCAAAATATTTCTGATTTGACATTATGGTATCAAAACGTTCATATTACACACAGAATACAGCAAACCTCATTACTTACTATAGAACTTTAGACAATTATAGAATTATTAAATAGAATTATTTTAGACAATTCTACTTTCAGTGAACTATTGATGAGAACTTTAAAGGTCTCCTACTAATGCTAAGATAATATAGCACATTGTCGTTATTAATACAAATGAATGAATAATTAGAAATTAGCACATTTGGCACATTGAAATTATGCTTTCAGGTTGAGCAGTAGTGTTGGAAGAATTTATCCAAATAATTAATAAAATCTGTAGTGGGCACTTCTAACACAAGTTACTTAGAAATAGTCAGTTACCTGTTTTAGCTGGACTTGCTCTTTTTTTAATGTCACGTTCTAAAGTATGAGAAAAATAGAAAATTCTTTTTAAAGTCAGGATTGTTAACCCATCTTAATTTTGAATGTTTTTCTTATATTTGCTATAGCACCTCTCAATAAAAAAAATTACATTGTCAGATTATGTAAAGTTATACATCAGACTGAAAATTGAGCTAATAACCCATTGGAAAAAAAAATTAAAAGAAGAATGAACTTGCATGCCCATATTGCCTCCCCACTCCTCCCCAGTTCTTTTTTACATCATGATCTGGTAACATCCATTTCATATTGAGTTACAACAGACTAATATGCATGCGAAGGACTCTCTAGTCCTGCTCAGGCATTAACTCCATGTGTATAATCCAACACACAACCCCTCTCTTCCCTTAGCTGGCCTGGTAGGACAGAGAAGAGACCATCTCCAGGCTAACAGCTCAGCTCTCTAGTGTGGGGAGTCTAGGCTCTAGCTACAACACTCCACTGTCAAAGGTCCAGCTGTCTCATAACTTAGAGCAGGTATGCATAAGATTGCACTGTTGGTCTGCTCCACAGCTGAACTGCGTGCCTACTGTAGTTGCTGAGTGGGTTTTGTCTGATGCCTCAGCTTCTCTTGATCTTTTTCTCCTTATTTCATTGCCTCTTTCAACCCATGACCCATTATTTTGTTTTGCTTCAGGTCAAGTGGGTATTTAAATAAGAAAGTGTAATCGGAAAAGATTGCCTAGTGTGCTTGGCAGCTGCAGCATGCAGAGTCAGCATGAATGAGAATGTCAAACAGTGCGGTTTAAAATGTGCAAATTTAGGGAGCATGACATGTTTTATCCATCACGCTATCAATTGCAAAGATGCCATTTGGCTTCGTAGCAGTGCAAGGAAGAATTTGAAAAGCTGGAACAGCAATACAGTATTTTGCAAACTTTCTCGACCACATGCACATTCCTGTGATTAAAAACAGAGAAATTTGGATTTTTTAAAAATGTGCTATTTGTTCCAGGTTGTAATGTAGGGAAAAATTAATCCTGCAATGGATTATTTATCCACTATCCTGCTCTAACATGGACCAAAACTCAACAGTGGTATCTGGAAAGGGATAGAGCAGGATAGTGGATAAATAATCCATTACAGGATTAATTTTCCCCTACATTACAACCTGGAACAGAGGTAAGAAAACAAACAAACAATGGCTAGAAGACATAAGGAAATTGGTCCCACAGCTCTTATGAAAAGGCCAGAGATGGGAGGAACAAGAAAAATGAATGCTGCCATACACTCGGGTGGACCATCTGTGTCTTTCCACCTCCAACTGGCAGTGGCTTACTGGGTCTCTGAAGAGAAGTCTCTCAATTATGTGCTCCTGAGCATGTTACTGGGAAATGGCAATGCTGGAACTCGAACGTTTCAGAACACCACTTATTTCTATCATGGACTAAAACTCAACAGTGATATCTGGAAAGGGATAGAGCAGGATAGTGGATAAATAATCCATTGCAGGATTAATTTTTCCCTACACTACAACCTGGAAATTCTTGGCTTTCATCTTTAGTTGTTCTTTCTTGCTCAGATGGACCCCAGTCAAGGAAGTAACATGACCCAATAAATGTCCCTGGTGGTGGCAGTGGAAGAAGGAAATGCTTGCCAGGTCCTCATTCCATCTGTGGAATGCTTCTCATTCCATCTAGCTCTTGTGCTTCTCTGCACAGTGCCCCAATCTCCCTGAGCAGATTTTTTAAAAAAGAAAGGTAGAGGAAAGATAGGACTATTGAGTAGCTAGAAAAAGGAAGTTAGTGACAGTTAACTCCTTTCCATCTTCCATTCATCAGAACAGATCTGGGCAAACTTCTCCTCCCAGGAAACTTGGCACTTCCACCTTCTTGCCTACCTCTAGCTTTAGGACTGTATTTGGGAAGCTTGGTAATGGATTGGCTGTAACTTACTTTGGATTTTGGACCCCCAAAACATTTATGCTAATTTTCTAGAGATAGTTCTTTTGTAATATATTTTAAAAGGATACTGGAGGGAATATTTATTGGTTTGCTTATTTACTTATTTATTATAACATTTCTAGCCCACTTTCCACTGACAAAAAGTCCCCAAAGTGGAGATTTTATATCTAACACATACTGAATATTTCCTGAAAGCAATGAAACCAGGATTGGCAAGCAGCACAGAGAGGGAGGGGGCTTTCTTATCTTACCCTTCTGGGCCAGGAGGTGAAAGCAGAAGTGTGGGCTGTCAGAGGCAAAATCAAGAACTGGCATGGGAGCTGTTCCTAATAGGAAATCATCCTGCAACAATAGGCTTCCACATCTTTGGCCCAGATAGCTTCCACTTCCAGGCCCAGCAAGGGATGATAGAGAAAGACCATCTTCCTCCTCTCTTCCACACTGTACTACCTAAATAAAAATTAAGAGTAAATAATTTATATATAGTACAACTAATACACACTTTTTCTCCTTTTTATTTATTCATTGGTCTCCACAGGGAATTAAGTGGCCACCTTGCAAAGAAAGTTTAACACATTAAAGAGGTGCATGCTGTGGTAGTCTATGGACCATATCAATGATCCTGAAGGCGAGAGAGAAATACCACCCAAATCATGAAAAAGCTTAAATCTCAATGGAAATGCCAAAATGAAGTTTCTTCATTGTACAGTAGAGGAAATATCAAAGGGAAATGTGAATCACTAGACTGAAGTGGTTGTTGGTTTTTCTGCTATGACTTTCCTCAGATGTTGTGTCATAGGAGCTATGTGACATGCCACTTACTATTATGAAAAAAGAATGGGAAGACTAGCAAAGCCTCAAGCTGTATGGACACTTGCAGCCAATTTAGACATAGCAGTTATACTTTTCTGACAAAATGTCAATGTCCTGACATGCACACTAAGAATCAAGGAGCATGTTTGCTCTGAAAAATGCTCAGTTCATATTATAGAAAGTGCCGCATATAAAATGACCGCTTAATTGAATCTCCGATCCAACCTTACATGCAGCGTTGAACAATAACAAAAATTTGCACACATATCACACAACTGATTTGTTTAACATCTGCAACCTCAAGCATCTCTCCCCTTTCCCCAAATCACAGATACTGTATAAATTGAACATATATTTCATATTTCATATTTCATATTCATAGGCATGAGTGCTTGTTTCACTGACGTTGGTAGCAATAGATACAGATGAACCTGAGATACAGGTTCTTTTCATTCATGCATAAGATCTTCCCTTTCCCAGCTGAACAGAGGGGTTTCCATTGGTCAGGGTATCCCCAAACTCGATTACACTGCACAGAAGAAGTGAGCCATTTTTTCCCAGATCCAATATTCAGAAGAACTTCAGAGACTGTCAAACATGAGTTTACTTTGACATGGACTTTAGCCAGCCTCTGGCATACTCTTCCGAGATTGGATTAGGTAAATTAGGTAAATTTAGGTGGTCTCTCCGTTATAATCATAAACTATGAACAAATTCTTCTTTGCATTTCTTCACCAGCCATTTAAAATCCATGAATTCTGGGAGGAAAAGTCTCATTTAAGATGACAGAGAAGGAAAACAAATACAGGAATTATATATTTTGATTAATATAATAATATATTTACCTCCCTGTTTCTTGGCAATGGGAAGCTTTGCATCCTTTGATTTTTCTGCCTCTGAAAAATACAATTTTCTTAGCTTGCAAAAGTGCAATTTAAGCATGAATTTTCTTGCCTTAAGAGCAAATGTCCCCATTTTAAAAGCTACAGTCACAATATTTTAGCTATAATAACACAGGTGTTAGCATGTGTGCTGAATCAGGACTTCAGCAAACCAAAAAGTTAAGGTGAATAAAGTAGTATCATATGATGAATGTCTATCACTTTTTCCATTATAGACCTATTGGAGGATTATCGTCATCAAAGTTTATGGCTTTGCAGCCATTTAAATTAAAAAGGATCAATGCTTTCTTTATCATAAAATCAGAAGAATTAGTTGCATCTGTTAAAAGTATAATTTAGCTGATTTTAAATATTCTATGATTTCACTGTTATGCTTTCAGTCTGGTGAAAATTCCAAATTTTCATTTATTCCTAAATGTGGTAGAGTGAATGATGACTGGGATTGAAAGCCAAAGCTTAATATAGGTATGTAAAAGCTAAGGACACTTTACTCCATCACCATTTATATTCTGCAATTCTTCAAAAGCAGTTTGAAACCAACCCACAATTGTCTTCAGTGCTGTTGACCTTGCAGCACTAAGAGCAAGGAGCAAAAATCACTGCCCTGC